AAAAAAAAAAGGCGGGGGGGGCGGTGGCAAAGAAACCATAAAACCCCATCAGTCTCCGTCCCGGGGACATCTAGGAAAGGTATACACTAGACAGACACACATGGACATATGGCTCTGGAGAAAGCACACACAGAGCCGTCCACAGGCGCCCCAAACCCAGCAAAGAGACTTCCACTAGCCAAGAAGCCATGATTGGGGAGGGAGAAGAGGAAGGAGTAGGGGCAGAGCTATCGGCGGAGAGGGGGCGCATTGTTGTGATGCCCGAACCCCTTTCTTTCTGCCCATCTGCTGCGGAGGGGGTGCAGGGAGGGGCGCGGGGGAAAGGCCAGCCAGAACGAGCAAACGAGGAGACCAGGCACGGTTTTGCGATTCCCTCCTGCTGCCTGTCTGCCCGCGCCCCCCGTTCCCCCCAACAATAAGATCTCAGCCTAGACAGACAGACAGCCCTGAGCAACGCGGGGGGAAGCAGGGGACCCCGGGCGCAGCCGAGCGGGGTCAGGCATAAAGGGAAACCGGGGAGGAGAAGGGGGGAAAGGAAGGGGGGACCCCCCTTACCTCCAGCGCTTCAAAAGTGACAAAGCTGGTCATGGCAAATCCATCAATGATGTCCTCTTCGGCCGAGGTGGACTCTCTCCGCTTCCTCCGCGGGGGTCTGGGCCGGGACGGGGCGGAGGACGGGGGCTTCCCATTGTCTTCCTTGTCGGAGCCCGACGACGAGGCGAGCGAGGGCGCCCGGGTCCGGCCGGCCCCTCCGCCACCGGCCCCCAGTCCGCCCCGGGAGCGCCTTTCCCGGTCTCGCTGCGACCGCGACCGCCGCTTTTTGCGGAGTCCATGGCCCCGCGTCGGGCCATCCATGGCTGTGCCGCGCCGGGGTCCCCCCCCCCCGCTTGCCTGCCGCCCGCCACAGGCTCCGGCCGCGGCCACACACACACACACACACACCCCGAAAAAAAAAATTGACACCGAGCCCTGCCTCCCCCGATCACGGCTTCCCTCCGCCCCGAGGAGGGCGCGGAGGAGACGGCGGCCGAAAGAAGGGAGAGAGGGGAAGAAAGAGAGGAGAAAGAAAAGGGGGAAGGGGCGGAGAGAGGGGAGGAGGGACGGGGGGCGCAGAGCCCAAGTGTGGGGCTCCCCGCCGCACCGAGGGTCGGAGATGCCTGGGAGCAGCGCCGAGCAAAGTAATGGCTGAACACACAGGTCTCCTTTAGAGGGGAAAAAAAATAACTCACCAAGCAGGCAATAAATCAGAATAGCGGAATGCTTTGATCAAGAGACTGGGAGGCTCCGGGGAGCCCTCCCCGCGGCCATTCTCTGCCGCCCCCCCCAAAAA